ACCATACACAATAAGAATAATTTATAGAGTAAAATATTGTTTAAATATACTCTTTATTTACATCCCATTGTTTCAATTATCTGTGTGTCAAAGATTCCTATAACAACTAAATATATATCATGTCAAGAGATTTGTATAGGTAATAAAATAAAGTTCTGAATAAAACATAACAAAACATTTATCTTTGAACAAAGACCATAAATATTCATCAACAAAAGTCATTTATAAAAGACTCATATCCGTATAGAAGTTTGCAAAGATCTACATCAATACTCGTCTAAATAAATAAGTTTGACAGTTTCACCCTTGAACATGTCTTCGAGCAAAACAATGAAATTGTCAGTGTCAATTTAACAGTTATTCTCTCCTCTGCTGTACAAACCATTACAATTTAATTCAATGAATCTCGTTTGGTTGTAATTGCCAATGAGATGCCATCGGATATCATTTCATTGGAAATATGTCATCATTCCAATGTTACCATCTGGTATCGACCATAATTGAAAATCAATTTAGATAGGATGCTATAGAGATAGACAAAGAAGCGATTATTCAGCAACAGAAAGTCTAATTCCGACTGCTTGTACAGGTGCATCAGGAGGTGCAGTCATTTCCTTGCTGTTGAGATACTTGTATTTGTTACGCGAGATGCACCATTTTACAGAAACAAACACAACAGCTATAAGCAACATTGCTGCTACAAAAACTCCAACAGGAACTAACCAATCTGCATCGCTTGAATCCTTAGGAAGTCGTTCATCTGTAAAATAAATGATAAGTTCGTTGAAAGAAATTGTCTCTTACTTGAAACCAGATGTAACTAACAACATAAGTGTCAAAGGTCGTACATCCTTGTATATGATGTATCTGTGTCTTAAGTATATATTGATAATTTAAATTGAAAAACATGTAGGTCAGGTAATTGAACATAAAAAATGCGTACCGTCTACATTAATGATAATTTCATTTTGACTAAATATCTTTGTTGTAATTTTTATATATTATCTCTACCTCAAACATCATTTATTTATCGATTTCTTGTATATTGTTCTTTGCAAAACAATAAAATATAATAATCATACAATAAATTAACACTTAAGGTTTTGCCTTACCAATATTGTTCACCAAGTTTCCCATACCAGAATCCATTCTCTGAAAATCAAAATAAAAATTATTTTTAAACAATTTTCACTTTCTCTTCTAGGTAATAAAAATAATAATAATTGACCCGTTCCGCTGCCGTATTCAATCAATTATTAATTATGTTTATCTCTAACTATACGAAATACCAGGATTCTGTATAGATTGTACATTTGTAAACAATTTTATGTCTAGTATGACTAATATCTAATCAATAAAAACACGTAGTTATCTTACTAAGCATACTTCAATTAAATCATAAAAATAAGATAAATCAATATATTTACCTTTACTATTCGATGACGTTCAGGCATATTTGCTATTTGCGATTGAGCTGTTGTTCGGTGTTGATTGCAATTGTGTATAGCATCTCCTAATGCTTTATGTTTTTATACTAACACAATAACGGGACTTTCCTCCTTTACAAGTGTTTCTATAAATACCCTATCACGGATCTGGACAGTGATTAACACTTCCACTATAACATCTATTAATCTATTTTAAAAGATGATTAATTTTTCAAAACATAAATGGTTTATTAATTGAATTCTTTTGTAGATTACGATTACAAACTTTAATGTACATATTGTCGTAATCTTGACTCACTGGCGTCTATGGTCATAGGTGTCAGAGTTTGATTCCATTTTCGTTTCTTAGAGTTACTTATATTTGGTGTACTATACATATATAACATAATTTAGGATTCATATGGGAGTGATATAAGATATTGTGCTAACCGAAGTATTTACATCTATGTAAAATAAGTCAAGTGTCAATTCAAGCGGAATGAATATTTACAATTACAAACGCATATCTTAAAATAGCTTGGAATCCCATTACCACATCAATTGGAATTTCCCATGTGGTTTTCCGCTATGTTTACATTCCTGCCCTACTGACCTAGATGAAGTCATCAAAACATTGAATCATGAAAACATAAATACAAACATGTCCTTAAATCCAGGTTATTACGTATAAACAGTTTATATAGACGTAAAATAATATAATTATATATTCTCATTATAATTATGATTATAATGATGTTAACAAAGACGATGATGATGATGATGATGATCATGATGATGATGATGATCATCATCATCATAATCATCAACAACATCATCATCATCATCATCATCATCATCATCAACATTATTATTATGATTATTATTATTATTATTATTATTATTATTATCACCATAATCAACATTATTGCTCATTCTATCATCAGTGTTATCGATGTTATTATACTAATTCTATTGAGTGTTTATGGCAAGTTAACAATAGGAACAGTCATATGAAAAGTGCATATAAATTTTTTGCAGGTTAGTATGAGGAAAATGTTTGACCTTCTGAACAACAAAATTTGATGTGTATTCTAAAAATAGAAATATGAGTTTCGGAAGTAGCTATATAATATTGCGTTATTTGTTGAACGAAAAGACAATGTATTTGAAACGCAAATGTACCAACGCACTACGTCTGATATTTAAGTCGTGGTATATGGAAAATATGTTTAATATATCTGAGCTTGTTGCGCTCTATACAAATATCTGTTACAACTCACTTGTAACGAGTGTTATAAACCATGCGAAATATAAAACGCAAATATAATCTATAAATAAATGTAGTAAAGATTCATAAATAAAAACAGATCATTGTCGCCGAGGCATGTGATGATGACACTTTCACTTATGATCGGCAAACATGTGCGACAGGATCATGTGTGACAGGATTTTCAATATTAAGGGACTTTCCTACGCTATTTCCGCGCTATTTCCGCATCATTTTAAGCTGATATCACTTTACTCTAAAATAAACTTTTGCAAAAAAAAATCTTACAATTAATATGGTTATATTTCATACAACTTGTCATTTTATGATAACAAAATAATTTCCGGGAGGCCTCATTTAATATTGCTTCTATATCAACACGTAGAACACTGTTTTATCTTTTATGCACTAACGACGGAAAATGTGGGGTATAGCATCGAAAGATATATATGTACTAACACTACCGCTAAATGCAATATATTCTTTTAAGTATTTAATGGAATAAAAGTTATAAAAGAAAAAAAAACAACATTTAATGGTGTGCACATTTTATTTACTATAGTCAATCAACCTCTCAATTTACAAATGATATAAAGATATCCTTTTATTAATCAATATTATATAGATTTTCGTAATATGATTTATCATAATATTTAGCAATTAAATGTGCTTTTATTCTCACTTTTCGAAATGGATTATCTAATGTCTGTTATTGTACAACCACAAAGAAATGCTATTGAAGCATGATAACTCTTTGAAACTTTATCATATGTGAACAACTTCCTCTCTCTTCATCCTTTTCTATATCAATATTCACCTCACCCGGACATTGTGATGTTCACGTCTGTTGACATCATTCCTCTTTCCTTCTGTTTAGTATATTTGTATATATTCTTCCATAGTTTACAATCATAAATCATCTATTACAGCAGGTTCCTTGCATTTATTTCTTGCACGGTAACAGCCAAGGCCGACCACAAACATTACCATTACCGTTAGTATAAAGAACAGAAAGCGCAATACCACTAATTCGACATCGTCTACAATACAAAATTATTCATTTTATGTCATGTGCCCTACACAGGTGGATAACAAAAATCTGTTGTTTATAGTAGAATGTTCAATGAATAGGTGATAGTTTATAGATACTAATAAATAGAAAACAACATGCAGGGAAGGGCCCTCAATAATGTTGTTAACCTATTTGAATGTACAGTTGATGATTATATTTGTAAAGTTGCATATTGTGTATATTAAATGTTTACATAAAAATATTATTAAACTAAGATTAAAAAACAAAGAAATTTTAGTGACAATAGTTTTAACATTCAGTCTAGATCATGAAATAAATATCTTTTTACGAACGATGAAGATTATAATGAGATTATGAATTACCTGTGGTGGAATCAACCTCTTCATAACCTGGCGAGTTTGAAACTCCCTAAAAACGAATATATTTAAATTATATTTGTCATTCTTTGAACGCACTAGTCATTCAATATACTAAAATATTTTTACTTATATATTTAATTTTATTATCTTAATAGCCAAATGTTTTGACATTAATGTAAGTAAAGTAATAATCATTTAAACAGTATAATTCAGCAGTAATTTGATACTCAGTATATTCATATGCAATTAATAAATTAATAATTACGTTCAAGCATGGTTTTTAAAGAATATATGTTAAAAATGAATATACCTGATTAATATTAACTAAGTCCGTGCTGTTGCTGTTTAAAATAACACCAATCGTTTTCATCACGAAGCGTTTTCGTTGTAGCATTTCAAAAACATAAATTAAGTTTTAAAAGCATTTTGATTTTGGTTTATTGCCAGAACTTTTCATTTACGTACACTAAATGGAGTAATTGTCTGTAAAAACCTCTTAAGCAGTAAATTTTGTAATTACCTGTAAACCCGGAATATCAATGATAAAAATGAAATCTATAAATAGAATGTGACTGTATAATGTATCTAAAAATAGAACTTCTATCATTTTGAAGATTATGACTAAAGTAAGCTTACACCTTCTAATCGCCGTGATTTCAGAATATTTTGTCTTATCATTATAATAGAAATAATTGGTTTAAACATATTTATTTAAGCTTGAATGCGAAACCATTTCTTGCAAGCAATTTATATCAATCACTTTCAAGTTCGCTCCCTGGAACTAGTACTGGTGTCATATGAAGAAGCATGGTCGTGATCCGATTAAAGACCTGAGTTGAGATGTAGCACCTTAACCACTAGGCCATGGCTCCCCAAATAATAATAATTCTAAAGATAAAACAACAAAACCAATAAATCGTTTCTCTGTTTAATTTATTGTATATACAATGCATGTCAAATCTTTATCAATATACATGTTGTAAAAAAAAGGCTTACAGTCTTAAAAAAACATATATTACTGATACAAACATTTGTTAAGAGTAGTGATAATTTAATGCAAGCAGGCGTCTTATATTTCGATGTTACTACATTCACAAATTTTCACTTCAAACTGATTACAAGAAGGGTATATTTATAAACACAACGAAACACGTGTACACTGATTTTCAGCAACAAACAGCGAAAGAAAAATAACCCAGGTCACAGCCTCAACGACTTGTTTCAAAAGATAGTAAATAATTATTAGTAGAATAAAAAACTTAACAAAAGCACGCCGCTACACAAATTGACAATACATTATCTGCATAAATATTATAATACCTTAATGCATGCCACTATATCATCACTTTAGTCAAGTAACGAACTAACTCCTATTATTTTTTTCTTGTTTGCTAGATTTGATGTAAAAAAACTAGGTATGCTTGGAAAATTTCTCAGATTCATTTGATAAGGCATGCAACAGTATTGAAAATATCAATCTAAGATAGTTTTACACTTTCATCGAATAATCCTGTCATATCCGGTTCTATCACCAATGTCATTTCGTTGTATTTTATGAACAATCGCATTAGGTTTGTGAAATTTACACTGATCTTTTAAGAAATCATTTGAGATTGTCGTCCATGCACGTAGAGCAGAATGTTTTTGTTCCTATTAGATACACTAGTCCATCACACATCAACTAATGTAAATCAATTTTATGAATAATCAAAGTACCAAAAAGAACCTTTTTTCAATTACAAATTAAGGTGTGGTGATGTGTAAACTCAGGCAATGAGGAAAAACCTGCCTTTTTATCCGTTTATTCGAACCAATTTTTTTTACATTTTGATCACTTTTAAACCGTTTCTTTGCTAAAACAGTGCAGCATTTCGAGAACAACGTATATCCCCCTATAATAGTTACTGTTGTAAGTCGTTTTCTTGTTGATTTTTTATTGTTATTGTCTTCTGCTTGTGAATCATATCGAAGCAGAAATAAAATTTTGAGCGTGGAGAATTTATAAGACTTTAACTCGGTTTACTTTTTAGCGATGATTTTTCTTACAGGTTCTGTAGCATCCGATGATACAACAAAGTATCAGGAGACCTAATCCTATACAGAAAACTGGTATCATCCAGTCATTATACTGTATGTCATCATCTGAAAAAGTATATAGATAATAAAATGACAAAGGAAAACGATTTTACAAAATTCTCTTTTATATATCTGGCTCGGCTTTCATTAACGTTCTCAAAGTCAAAATCTCAGCTCAAATCTGATATTTTTCTCAACTCAGACCCTAAAATAGAAAAAAAGAAAAGTGCTGACGGGCCACGAAATAAAACCTTCAGAATAAGTTTGGGATGAAACCCAATTATCTTTATTGATACATAGTTACTATATAGTATCTTAAACACGCACATGGGATTCTTTTTTGCGTTAAGGTGATAGGTTACTTAAACCGTGAGTGTTCTGTTATCTTTTTATTAAAGTTTTATATAGCAGAAATGTGACAAACGATGTGTAGATGTCCTTCATCGAACCATGTAAAATATAAAGTAGCATTTTTCCATTTATCGACGAAAAGTTGAAATTAAACCAAAGTCATATGTTTTCCATAAATTGGTCTTGATAACTTCTTTTCATTCCTACATTTATTTGGAGAAAGGATCATCATAATTGAAAAATTTTTGAATTATTAATAAAATTTATAACACATATAGACGAGTAAAACTTTCACGCGTATAGGTCAATCTCAATCAGTGCAGGATACCTGTTAAATCTAAAAATATACAATAAAAAGCTACAAGCAGTGATCTTTGTTAAAAACCTGGCTGAAAAGATCACCTCATGATTTTAAATGAACGCTACAAAGTATAAAAAGTTTCCATACCTTTCACATGAAGAAGCAAACCGGCTTGTTTCTGAAATAAAAAGAGAATAGCCTTTATAATATGATAAGAAATGACATGCTTCACCAATAACATGTTGGAGACTTTCTTACAAGTATAGAGCCCTATACTCTATGTGGCGTAAATGTTTTGTAAGTCAGCTGACTAAGTGGACAGATCCCAAAATATTGTTATTTACAAAATAAATTGCCATCGCTTTGCTGGGGAAAGAAGACAATGAAACTTTAGTGAACATATCCTGTTGCTCAACTCTAGCTTAGTCTGGAACTACAAAGAATTACTTTATTACTGTATTTTTCAACATACATGAATTCAGTGAAAATATATGTATAATTCATAGATACCTCTGCATGACTTGTGTAGTTTTCCATTGTATCTGTCTGTCTGTATGTATCTCTCTATTTAAACGCACAAATAAAGTGTGTCTGTATATATTGTTTATGTAACGTAATATTTATTTGTATCATTAACTATAATATTAAATCTCATTTGTTTAACTTTTGCACTTCCTGCTTTGTTGCATTTTCGTTGTTGTTCTTTTTTACTGAGTTGTGGTTTTTCTGTTATTACGAGAGTGACACTTGCTATGATTAGACTTGCCATTATAATATACTTAAAAATATTTAGAAACCCCATTTAGTATTTATTAATAATGTGTGTGATTTTGTTATTAATAGCATAATTTTTTAGTTATACGATGGGTGATTTGAAAATACGTAGACCTTCTCTAAAAATAAATAATAACTCCTTGAAAATTCAAAGTTTAAGACAATGAATTCAATATTTTTTGTATATTCTCCGAAGATTTGTAAAACTAACATTACAAATATCAAACGTAAGGCAAACATAACTTTTACCGGAGCTCGCCAGATTTGTGTGACGACTTGAAGTCGTATCACTTTGAACAACGTCGCACAAAGCTTGATACGGAAATGGACAGCGAGAGGCAGTCTGAAGAGTTTTCATTTTATGTTAACATGTTTACCTGTTGTCGATACATCTGATTGGGTTACAATTGGTTGACAATGGGCATAGAGCCTCAGTTTCACTAACTTTGTTTTCCGTTGGATATAAAGTAAATACATTTGTTACCTACGAGTACACTACTTCTATGTGTTTTTGTTTACCACTGAAATCATGTACTAGAACTACTTTCAATCCGTATTAATAAAAAGCACATGCGAATGAATCAACATTTATCAAGCGTTTGTAACTTTTTTTACACATTTTGTTTCAAATCATTTAGGGTTTTTTTAATGAGTAGGTTTAATACTAGCGGCGACAGGGTGGTCAAATGATAGATAGCCACGTTGCAACTTGGTTCAACTCCCGTCATGAGCATACCTATGTGTTCTTGAGCAAGGAATTTTACACTCATTGCTCAGTACTTTTGGTTCCAGTAATGACTTTGAAGGCGTGTCTACAAGCAAGCTTATAGCTTCCTACACAATCTAACACTATAATGATATTTGTATAAACTAAAACTGAATTTTAAACATGTAACGTTAGAATAAAATTAAATTTAGTAATTTACATGCACGAATATGAAATTCTGTTTATCACATACGTTAATTAGACTGCTTTCAGTAAAAATTAATAACTTCATTTAAATAAAATATAACTGGACAATTTAAACGGTATGATTGTTTACTGCAAATGCCCTCAAAATAAAATATATGCACGGCCATGTCATACTCTTGACGGAAATAAGAATACTGCACTGATCTGTGATTATTAAACTTACAACTCAGAAATGTTTATTTCAATTTATGCAAAACAAATATTCAAAATCATCATTTAAGTATCAGAGGGAAAAAAGTAAGGCATTAGGAAATGTGAATAAAAAAACGCATTTATATACTAAAAATAACATAGTTTATTTATAATATTTATATTAACAATAACAAAACACTAATCTAAATATAGCAAATGATAATACCACAACAATAAGCACAGTGTCCTCAAAGTATTTCACAGGATAGCTATTAAAATTAACGTTCCAAATTTTATTGCGAACACAATAGTCAAGTGTGTTTATTAACTATTAAAGAAGTATTTCCTGTTGTATAGGAAATCATAATCAAAACGTTTGTCAAAGAACTGAAGAAAATGTTTTTTAATGTTACTGTCTCATATGTTCAAAGGTTCATACGATATATGACAATGCTACAAATCACTTAGTACTGGCATATACATTTAAATCACAAATGTATGAATCGGAACTCCTCGGAACTCCTCCTCCGTTTGTCAAATATACTTCTACCACGTAACCTTGGTATGGAACAAAATGAGAATATATACAACTGGCAAAAAATAATTTGTCGACCATTCTAATAGCTAAAATGATACAGTGTCTTAACAATCAAACCCAATATTAAGATACCATTTATAAAAAAAATAATAGAGGGAAAAACAGACTTTTAGAGAACACCAAAGTCTTTCTCGCTCCCTCTTCTTGGATTTCCTTCTTCTGGGCTGTTTCTATACTTTCCAAGTTTGTCAATTACTTCAATGAAGAATAGAAACAAACTTCTTTAAGTATGCTTCTTGTTGAAAGGTTTTCTTAAACTATTAGCTGTTTCGGTGAAAGAGACTTTATCTTGCTGTTGTTTTTAAGTCGAAAAATACACCATTTTAGAGATATGATACTAATTGCTATGAGTAATATTACTGCTATAAAGATTGCAAGAGGTAACAGCCAATCCGCATCACTGAATTCTTCCAGCTTCTGGTTATCTGAAAATTAATGACTACATTTTTGTGTATCTATAACTTTTTTAAATATATTCAAAATATTTTTTTTTTCGTGGCTACCGATGCTCCAGATTTAGTAATTATATCATTAAAATGAATAACAGTTCGACCATACAAAAAAACGAATACCATACATAATTTGGAAATAAAACACAGGTTTTCTGAATGATGATAAAATAATTGATTGAGATATTAAGCTTTATTTTGTTACATCTTTTAGTTCTTACAACTAATTTCTGTGCATCTGCACAACAGATATCAATTTTCCCTTTAGACTTGAATGCAACAGTATAATCCTAAATTTCCTTACACTCACAGAGATGGATTTTGAATAAAGGTGTGTTGCCAATATATAATTATATTTACCATGTTTATGCAGGTATGATCTATCGCCACCAGTGCCAGTAATAAAATTACCCATCGCAGAATCCATTCTCTACAAGAAAAAAAAAACAAATTGAATATAGAATATAGAACACTTACAATTTCATGATTCCATTAAATGGAAAATATTATCAAATTTCTTAATTGTGTCCAAAACTTATGTATGTATGTCCAAAACTTACATGAACTTACTCATATTTATATTTAATAAACTTATTTTTTGTATGTTATGAATAAGCTATGAACACATCATAACAAGCCATAAGGAAGTGTCGTTTTTAATAGAAGATGTTTAATTCGGTATTTTATTTATGAAAGTATTACCTTCACTATCCAGTGTAGTCCATGCATATTTACTATCTATATCTTAATAAATATGACAACATCTATTTTTTTCCGCAGTTATACGATAAAAGCAAACTGCAAGTCCTTCGACCTTCTGCTTGTAACCACATCCACCGATATAATAAGACGCAACATTTGTACATGTATAGCCAGGGGCGTACCTCGGCTTATTTTTAGTGTACGCCGAGTGCAGGTCTTTGGTCGAAGGGTCGCCAGAGATATACATAAAATATAGCTACATGTGCTAAAATAAGGGATTTAAGGGACATCTAAACTAATTGTACTTCTATTGTCTTTATCTACAGTAATGAAAATGACATCAAGTACATGTATTGAATGTAAGAGAAATTGCACGAAGTCTAACATTGACAATTTTTTAAAAAGTTCAAAAGTTATTTACTACATGTATTAGAAAAACAAAACATAGCCAGGTGTCTCTCTATTGTGATAAAAAATGTTTAACAAGTTTTTTCTTTGTTATTGTTCTTTTGTTTCATCATAACTTAACATGAGATACAATCAAGGAAAAATTTGCTTTAACATGACCTGTATGGTTTTAATACAAACACAACAGTTTAAATGTTTTAGTGTAACAAAATGTTATCGTATTTATCAGCTAAGATGTAGTATCGAACGATCATTAAGGTTCCTTAAATATTTTTAAATGCGTATTATGTCAATGTTGAAGAAAATAAATATTGTCCTTAACAGTTTTTATTCTCTACTCTTTCAGTTTCCATTCGAAATATTTAAGATATTTCATCAGGACGTTAAATGCCTCACGCACATAAAAGGATGCTCGCCAACTCGTTATCTAAAGTTGGTGAAAATAAAAGAATTAGGACGTACTTGACGTGTCTAATATGGCTATACATTGTTTTCGTTGTATATTTGTCTATGTTTTAAATATGTATAAATGAGATTACTTATAAAAAAAGAATATATATATGTCATTGTTTGCAGAAGTATTTCTATTTCTATACACAATAAAATAATATAGTAGAAACATCTTTCTGTAGTGATATATTTTGTAGATACATGTATTCATTTTTACGGTCATATAAACAGAAGTTGAGTTTGGTTTGTAATGATAGATGCTGGCAAAGATCTGATTCATAGGGCCCAAACTATTCTACACAATTTTAATTGAATATAAGATGAACGAATGTTACTAAATTAACAAATAATATATTGACTTATAGCAACAAGGTAAATTCCATACAGCTAACTCCCTTCCATTTGGCTGCAAACACCAAGTTGCAGACAAGATCTTAATTTTGCATATAGATCTAGATGTAAAAAAATGAAATAAATGTTTAGTTTTCACTAATTTTTATTCTTGTGAAAAAATGATTGTCATATATTGGACAATTTCTTATCATTATTTTGATTTTGACAAGGCTTATTAGCATTATAACATTGATTCTTTTAAGCATTGATATACCCAAGAAATTGTTTTATTAAAATTTGCTCATATGTGCTTACTCCCTCTTCTTATAATTGATTTCTTGATTGTTAACGCATCTTCG